CGCCAGAGGTCCCCACCCCCACAGGGACCACACACCACACACGTGCTCCGTCTCCTCTCCCTCCCTGTCACCGTCCCCAGACTTCATCCGGAGAGCACACAGAGCCCACTGTGGACGGAGCTGGCCGCTCCTGTGAGGGGCTTCTCTCCAAAACTGAGCACAACGGGGCCGTTTATATTGAACACAGGACAGCGGGCTCGCTCTCTGCCCAAGTGTACGCCCCAACAGATAACTCACGTTTCAACACAGAAATTACTTACTAGGATAGAAATTAGAATTGGCGTTCGTATAATCCACCAGGGACCACTGTGCTCGTTGGTATCCCAGCAGCTGTTGGAAAGAGAGGAGGAAGTCACTCCCACCCAGTCTATGAACCAAGTTGCTGGATAAATGTGCTGCCTGTGGATCCGTCCCTGACCTGGTGGTGCCTGCAGGGTTTGGGGGTGGGGTAGACAGGGACTTCTGATTACCACACCCCTCCAGGTTGCCACGCCCCCTCCTCATGTCCCACGCCCCCACTGTAAGGCACCATTACTGTGCTGTTAGAGATCTTGACACAAGCTATCTCTGTCACGTGGTTTAGTTTTGTCTTATTCTTCTCAGCAGGATAGTCTGCTACTGGGGAGGTAAAACTAAAGTGTAACCCCAGAGGCCTGGAGAGGGGGCAGGTCAGGTTCCTCCAGCCCATGTGAAAACGACTTAACGATACCAGAACTGATTCAGTCTTGCTGATCTCAATCTTAAGGCTGCAGTTGGCACAACACTCACCCCGTGTCTTCTAAAGAGAGTCTGGCCGCTGTCCACACCGCCGTGCACACAGTGGGGATGCCTGCGGACAGACACCTGCTTACCCACAGCCCCAGGCAGTGAGCTCGCAGCAGCCTGCAGTGACACGTGTGGCCTTTCTCAGCAAGGACGAGGGCTTTCTGATGAAAGGAGTGAGTGGAAACTCTTCATAAATATACACAAGCTTATGCTTGTGCCTCATTAAGCCGTGCAGACAATTAAATACGTGTCTGCAAGCTGAACCTTCAGAGGCCTAACACATGTGAGTGTTGTTACTAAAGTTTGGGGGGGGTTGCACCAACAAGTGGAGGGGTGCCCCTCGCTCAGAATGTGGGGGTCCCACAGCCTCACTCCCTTCCCGATCCTGGCTAATGCAAGGCTCGTGCTAACTGGGCCCCGAAGAAGGCAGGACCTCCTGCCCCTTCTCCTCCCTGGCCTCCTTCCCGACTCTCCCACCTCAGGCAGGCGCGCTCCCGCAGTGGGAGCTTGGAGCAGCTTCAGACCAGGTCCCCGGCTCCCAGGGTTCTAAGTGTTGGCTGTGGGGACCTGCCGTCATTCTAGAAAAGCTCTTTCTGATATGACTAGAAGTGCACCCTACAGGGGACAGGCATCAGGAACCTGGAGGGTTTGTGGGGTGTCAGATGGGAAGCTGGGCACACACGGCCTGGGGCGGGGAGTCCTTACCCCATCCAATCAGGAGATAGGCCAGGAAGCGGCAGCCAGGCGAGAACATGGCCACCAACAAGGTGTGCAAGTACAGCCCCTCCACCAGCAGCCAGAAGAAGTTGGCCATGGTGCAGTACTGAAAGAACACCAGGCTCAGCTTGCAGCCGACCTGGAGCAAAAGAACGTGGCCCTACTGGGGAGCAGCTCACGGCAGGCAGAGCTGCCTACACCACGTGCACCCCCACCTGTGTAGGAGCCAGACACCCCGACACAGCCGTGGGCCGCAGGTAGGTATGCGTGTGTCAGAGGCCCTGGGCGCGCTGGACGCCGGGGCTCGGGACTTGCTGGAGGGAAACACGGATCACGGGAGCTGCACACCGCCGTCCGGAGAGCCCCAGGCTCCCGAGTGGGAGAGCACGCTGTGGGCTCGGGGCGTTAGCACATTGGCCTGACCTCCCCTCCTGGGCACCTGGCCCCACTGTCCCGCGTCCCCACCTGCCAGGCTGTCCCTGCCCCTTCTTTCTGCTCTGCCTCACTACCCTCTCTTAATACCTGATGAAGAAAAAGGGGAAAACAGGAGAAACTGGCAAACAGATGACCTCCCCCAGAGTTGTGAAAAAAGCTTCTACCAGGAAAAGGTCACGTCGTATATAAAATAAACACACTTTAATCCCTCAGACCTTCATGGAACTAAACGTACCAGGTATTTCAAGTTCATGAGCAAACAGAAAGTCAGGGCTTTTAGTCACTGAGCCCACAGTGGTGCTCACCTCTGTCCCAGTCTGTCTCTGCAGCCTCCCCACCCCAATACTCACTCACGTGGGTGGATGCACAGATGGGCAGGTAGGCTTCAGCACGTGTGTGGACATCCATATTGGGGCGGGCGTGCCTACAGCCATTTCAGGCTGGCCGGCTGTGACCCCTGGAACCTGCTCCTCCCCCACTCCCAGCCCCCACCTCACTCTAGGTGTCTGCGTCCTAAGCAGGGGGACAGGGCGCCCGTCATCCTGAGGGGCAGCACAGATGACCGAGCGCCACCCACTGAGGCCATCCTACGTGGAAAGACACCATAGTAACAGCCATGAAAACAGGAAACCTAACTTCAGTAAACTGTGACTTGTCACTGCTTATGGGAACAGTCACGGGAACCGTGCCAGGCAAGCAGGAGGCGGAGCTGTGGAGCCCCCATGGGTGCTGCCAGGCAGTGTGGACAGCCAGCTGGCACCCTGTGGGCACAGCGACGGCTGTCCCAGCCTTTCAGAGCAAAGCACTGCTGGTCCAGTTGAAAATGCACATGCCCTCTGAGCCCAGTCACTGGTGAGGTCCGTCTGAAGGACCAGGAGCCCCAGGGTATGAAGACGTGTGAGTGAGGAACGCCGTCTACAGGGGTGCCTGTTACTGCTGCGAGGGTAAGGAAATTGTGCTGCACCCACACACTACACCACTGCGCCAGTGGACTTGAGGGTCCCCACGGTGTCCTGCTGAATAAGGAACAAAGGAGCACAGAAGTGTGTTTAAGATGATTCCACTTTCTTGGTAAAATTGTGACAATGTCACGCCTGCATTTCTTTCCCTTTGCTCATCCACCATCAACACACCCTGCGGACAGGAGGTTTCGGGAGTGGCAAGCTCTCTGCTGATGTCATCATCTTCTGTGGTGATTTCAAACCATGTCCCTGGGGTGGCAGGGCCTCCGGGATCTGCTGCCACCCAGACACGGGGTAGAGACGGGCCCAGATCAGTGGGCACTGGGCAGAGGTCCCCAACCAGACTTGTCCCCTGGTCTGGGAGCACATGGCGGGGCATGGGGGCCTGCACCCCATCTTCAGGTCAACATCCAGATTATCATCGTGGTCATTTGGTTGTTCATTTTCTCTAAGTATGGTTTTCTGCAGGAGTTAGATAAAAACCTAACAAGCCAGCGCAGAGGGGGGCGCCCCAGTGGGCACGTCCAGGGCAGTGCCCACTCGTGTGGCTTCATGTGTGTCCTGTGTCCACAGCTGCTCTGCCCTTGAGGACACGAGGTCCTGAGCCAGCGGTCCTTCCAGCAGTGGATGCAAACAGCCTGAAGGGGGCGTGTGCGTGTTGCACACGTGTGCCTGTGTGTGCTGGCAGCTCTCACTCACTCTGCTCCACTCACCTGCCTTCGTCCTGACATGTGTCCATTCTGACCTGGGCTGAGGGCCAAGGGCAGCTTGAGGACCCAGCACCCCTAACCCTGCCTCTTCCCCGCTTGGGGTAGCAGCGGCAGGTGGGTTTGGCCTGGGCTGAGTGTCTTGCTGCAGAGCCCAGGGCCACCCTGTCCTCCCCCAGGCCAAAGGACTTGGGCTCTTGGGTGGGGGTGCAAAGCCTGGGCTGGGCTGTGAGAACTGCAGACCTCATGTGCCATGTGCTCTGGTCTCGGTGAGAATAAACTGCCCGTGTGGCCCAGTTCGTTCGAGAGCTGAGCCTAGGGCCCCGTCCCGCCCAGACCAGAGGTGGCTGGCAGGTCAGCAGCCTTCTCTGACAGGGAACAGACCCTATCACCTTCTTGAGGACCTTGCCCTTTCAGGGGGCTGCCTCAGGTGTCCTGCTTGGGAGAATAATATTAGGGGACTCCTAGCTGGGAACAAAAATGCCCCAAAAACTCAACTGGAAGAAAGGATGTTTTCCCTTGTTCCCCGTGCTGAGGTCTGACTGTGTTTCTGGCTGATGAATTTACTCAAAACCTCACCTTCTCGAGGGGACAACAAAGGGAAGACCTGGCTCTCCTCTCCTGTCCCCACGCCTCCTGTCTCGTGTGTCCCTTTCCTCCTGCTTGCTGTCCCAATTCTTCCTCATCCCCCAGGGCCCAGGGGGCTCTTTCCTGCTCCCTCCTGCCTAATTTCAGTGCTCAGAGCATGGCGTGCACCGCACCAGGCTGGCTCTGCGTTCTGCGGGGCGCCCTGGAGCACCGTGGCCGGGGCCCTGACTGATCCCATGGTGCCTTGCACCTTGGCATGTTGCTGGGTCTCCAGCCCAGTGTCCTCATTTGCAAAATGGGCAAATTGCTCTCTTGAGCACTCACCAACAGTGTCCTCGTACACAGCCTGGCACTGGAGGAGACTCCAGAAATGGCTGGGCGGGTCCCCACTGCTGGGAGGGGCAGAGGAGTGAGAGATCCCTGGTGTGGGCCACAAGGGGCTGGGTCACCCTGGGCACTCACTGCCCCTCAGCAAGGAGCTGCAGTCCTGGTCTGTGTGGCAGGAAAGAGGTGACACCACTGCTCCCGCTCACCGGGGATGCCAGCCCTGAATAAAGAGCTAAAGAAGGAGGGCTCCTTGGAGCAGAGCTTTGAGTCCCCCCAGGGAGTGATGGGGCGTCCCGTGACGGGGAAGCTGGCATTGTCCCTGCTCCTGGCCTTGGGGCTCAGCCCTTGTCACGTGAGGGACACTCCAACTTTCATGTGGGGACGTGCCAGTCAAAGGGTCTCCTTAACTTTGTTATCACAACAGGCTCCTTTCATCAATTCAGTCCAGGGGCTCATGAGCCAATTCTTCTCAGAAATGTCTTCACTGGCAGGGCTGTGACATGGCTGTTATCTGTGCCTTAGAAAGAGCTTTAGGACTTAATTAGCTCACATCTGTTCAGTGCGGAGCACGGCTGCCAGCAGAGGACTCCACTGGGTAGAAGGTGAGTAGCCGGTGGCCTCAGGAGCTGCGATCGAATCAGGAGTGACAGGCAGACATCCCAGGGCCCAAAGGCCACCAGGGGTGGTGGGGACGCTGTGCATCCGGGGAGGTGACCAGCTTGGGAGGATGATGAGCAAATGCTGGGCCGGACTGAGCTCAGCTCTGCTGACCCACTCACACCCACCGGGGGCCAGCCGGCAGAAGGGTGTCACAGGCAGCGTGAAGCATCCTGGACTGCATTTGTGGACACTAATAATTACGATGGATTCTCTGTGTCAAAGACCCAGGCCCAGAGTCCTCAAACCTCCCAGCAGGTGCTGCGTGGAACCCCCCACCGCAGGGAACCCCCCAGGCGCCAATGGAGGCGTCTGGTGCTCAGAATCTATGAGAGTCTGGGACAAAGCAGCAGCACCGCGCGTGTCCACCTGTGTCACGACTGGCAGTCCGGGGCTGGCGCTGACCACTCCTGCAGGGCCTGCGTGGGGTCCAGCTCTGCTGGGCTCAGCACACACTCTGCCCGTGACTTCCTGGCCCTGGCGGTGCCTGAGTCTCACTGCCCACCTTCCTGTGTCACTCCCGTCCCTTCCCGACCTGGACTGGCCTGCTCTGAGCCCCGGCCTCTGGGCCAGGTCCCTCTGCCTCTCAGGTCTGAGCCCTCGTCCTTGTCCTCATCCTCCCAGGACCTCCAGGGCCCTGTGCACCGGTGGCTCTGGGACTTCATCCCCACGAGAGGGAGTGCGGAGATGGGGGACAGGGCGATGAGGAGGGGACGGTGGGGCTGCAGTTCCTGAGGCCACCCCCCTCTTGGTGACAGCCCGTGAGGGACAGCCTTACCCAGGAGGATGGCTGATCAGGGCAGTGCCGGGTTCCCGAGCTGGAGTACAGGACGGCGTCCTTGACCAGCACCGACACGGCGCGCAGGATGAAGGAGAGGAACAGGTTCAGGTGGATGTAGTTCCGGGTGCAACGCAGCTTCCTGTGTGGGGGAGGGGAGGGGCCAACACCGAGTTCACAGAATAATTACCGAGTTCCTAAATGAATGTAGGAAGTTGCTGAAGCCAGATTAATATACAGAAATCAATTCCCTCCTAGAAACAATTAGAAATGGAATTTAACAAAACCCAAAACAGCACAAATACCTAGTAGGGGTGACTATGAAAAGTTTTGCAAGGCTTTACCAGGCTGAATGCTTCCTCACCCCTTCTTCCTTTTCTCCTGGTCTCTGCCCCTTCCCGCTCTCTCACCTGCATTTTCCCCCTGAGTGGGGTTGGGGTTTCTCGCCATCACATGAATGCAAGCTGTCCAAACAGCCATGCCTGCCAAGCTTCATTGTGTTCCTCACTCATTGCTCATTTTAAAACATCACCTCCAAGTATGGACCTACCGATGGGCGATGGGTGCCCTGCAGGTGTGGCTTCCAAATAAGCCAGGTGGGAACCTGCTCTCGTGGTGGCGGGGACAATGGCTGGGTCAGACTTTGGAGAACCTGCCCACTGCCCAAGGCAAAGGGCGTGGTGTAGGCCCTGCAACTGGCTGCCAGGAACATGGCACCTCGTCTCTCTAACGGGTAACACCTGGTGATGGGGCTAAGTTACAGAATCCTATCAAATGCGAGGCAGCATCTGTGCTGGCAGTCGCCGCTGCTGTCCCCAGGCTGGAGGCCCTCAGACGGGCTCTGTCCAGTACCTGGATACCGGAGCGCCCAAGGATGGTGGCTGCAGTGACTGCCCGTGGCTCCCACACACAACCGGGCATGTGCTTGCTACCAGCGCCCTCAGCGCCTTTCGGGACTTGGTCTAACCGATAAATCGCTCCCTTGCTCTGTGTATGGAATAAGGACATGGTTACTTAATGCTCTCTTAGCTTATGGGGCTGTTCTGGAGAATAAATGTTCCACGACTGCAAAGAATTTCTTTCTAGGGTGCATGTCACTTTTATAATTAATACATTTTAGAATCCACTCGCGCTCACAGCTGTCCAGGGAGGAGGTACCTGGGCACATGAGACAGGTGGGGGCATGGAGGGGACGGCATATGTGTGGCTGGAGGTGGCAGCATTACATGCAGAGCCAGCATACGATGCCCTGTATAGAGGACTGTGCTTTATGCTCGTAAACCCCTGAGGTTCTCTTCAAGGATCAGATCCGTATTTTCGGTAATTCCCACATGCTATCCGGCTGCCTCAGTGAACACATCACGCGGTAGGAATCCGAGGAAAACTGCCGACATCAAGAATGTGGGTGGCTCGGCTCTTTAAAAACAAGCTGAAAATGTTCTAGTTCAAGTTACCCTGTGCCCACTTACCCTCCCGAATTTTTCCTTTCTTTTTTATCTTTAACAACTTAAAGCTTTAAAGACATATAGTGAAATACAGAAGCTAGTACAACAGATATTAATACTGTACGAGTGCTTCTTTTTTAAAGAACTAGAATATAATAGCTGTTTCCCACACTTATCAAAGTAGGGTTCAGGGCTGAAGACACTGATTTGTTCTGAAAATTACCAGCCACCTGAAATAGGTGAGACGCCTAAAAAATGAAAAGTATAACTTCATTACATTTGCTGGATTCCTCAGCGCTCTTCTCCATGACTCTTTATTCATTTATTTTACTTGCAAGTGTGGCTCTCCCAATGGGTTACTTGTTAGGTTCTAAAGATTCCATTTGCTATACCACTGATTCTACCTGAATATTAGTCAATATTTGAACTATATTTTAGCCAAAGGAAATAATATATGTGGTAATCAAAACCCTGTAAAAATAAGACAAATATCATCCATTTTATTGGGTTGTCGGAAAAGTCATGACGTATTTCTTCTATGTGTTTGTCGCAAAAATGCATTATGGCTTTGCCGACAACCCAATATTTAGTACTAGTGATGCTTAAGACATAGATTTAATCCTAAGTATGCGTACTAGTTTTTCCCAGACAGAAGCATCTGTTCTGGGATCAAAGCCTCTATCCTCTGGCCGGGACCAACCAGATGCTACCGCGTATGTCATTAGTTACCAGACAGAGCTGCTAACATTCAGGTTGGGGGGTGGGGCTCTACCCTCACTACCAGGGGGGAACACAGGCAACAGCTACAGTACTGACCACATGTCAGCAGCAGGCTCCACTAGCATCCTCACTTTATAGATGCACAGAGAGGTTAAGTAATTTGTGCAAGTCAAACAGCTACTAAGAGACGGACCAGGACTGAACCCAGGCTGACTGACTCCTGCGTCTGTCCGTACTCTTGAACACACTGCAGGGTCTCCCTAGAGTCTGGACGGCCCCCACGTGGGTGCTTCTCAAAGGCAGTACTGTTTCTTCTGTATTTTCAAAGCATTTGCATAATGGCTGTATTTAGTAAATAGCAGTCAAACTGAATTTTTGTGCAAGGCTAGTATGACCTCTTTATACAAGGAATGCAGAGAGTTTAAATAAAAACGTAAATATTGGCACCCCATTTCACACTGGCCCCTCCCGGGAGCTGTGTTAGCGTGCGCTCAGAGAGGCCTCAGGGAATGGTCTCCTCTCCTCCTCGGATGGATTAGGTAGCTAAATGGATAATTTCCCCATCTTGTATTCTTTGCAGAATTGTTCATTCCTGGTGCTTACCTGAAGAGGCAAAGAATTATGCTTCCTGTTGTGAGGGAGGTCAGAGAGACACTGTAGCCCAAGGTGTAAACAGCCTTTACGAGAATATAAAACATGATCTACAAAGAAAGAAAAACACGTCTGTGAGTCTGGTGGCCAGCATGGGACCCAGGGACAGTTCCCAGGCCCAAGGATGCCACTGTTCTCTTCACAAGGGACTCTTGGCTGCTGATGGCCATGATGCACACCACAGAAAGAGAAAAAAATGCAGCAGAAGAGAGAAAAAAAGCACACACTTGGGCAGAGAGGTTGAGCAACCCGGGTGGACCCCACCCCTCTGTTTTCCCCCAAGGCCACATGGCCAACAGGAAGGAGCAGATTCCAATTAAGACCAAAGGAAGTTTTGTACAGGAAGACAGTGTTCCCGCACAAGAGATATGTATGTGAGTGTGAGTGTGAATGTGTGAGTGTGTGTGTGTGTGAGTGTGAGAGTGTGTGTGTGAATGTGAGTGTGAGTGTGAGTGTGTGTGAGAGTGAGAGTGTGAGTATGTGTGGGTGTGAGAGTGAGTGTGAGTGTGTGTGTGTGAGTGTGAGAGTGTGTTCTCTCCTCCTCCCCATCAGTTCTGGGCGTGACTGGGTCTCAGCCCAGTGAAGACAGCAAAAGGCTGTCTTTGTGGGGAGGCCAGGCAAACCCAGTTCCGAGGGTCACATCTCTCCAGGTGACACAGGTCAGGGGTGTGAGGAGTTTATCAGGCTCTTTTGCTTCAGGATGGCAGCGCTTTGTGACTTTGTGTCAAGAAAAAGGTAGAAGACATGTTAGCGTTCTGAAAATGTCATCGGAAATTCTAATTTTAGGTTTTTGTCCATTTTCTGTTTTCTTCTCTGATTGAGGAATTATATATAGCAGCAGCTTTTCATCATTTCATCTTGTGATAAGAGTTAAGGTTGAACAGTTGGAAAACGAAGTATTTGACATCTATCAAAAGCATAGAAAATAAAATGCGGACAACACACACCTGCAAACAGATGTCAGTCGGCAGCAGCCCCACCCGCCTTTGGGGGCAAGTACCTGGGAGGCACGGGGTCCCAGAAAGAGGCCGCTGACCTCCATGACAGCGCGGAGCAGGCTTCCGCTGCAGTGTTTTCTAAACAGTGTCCCGAGGGCAACCCCACGCTCCGATGTGACCAGGCCAGGCCCGCGATGTCTGCTGTCCCCGAGCAATTACTGACAGCCCAGCCCCCCCCTTCCCTTGAGAGTCCAAGTTTGCCTTCCGTCCAGTCCCCACCTGGAGGCGCCAGCCGCAGCCCTGAGTCCTGCCCGATGGCGCCCAGCCCCACAGACACAGCCCATCCCCATCCTCCGCTCACAGGAGACACAGACCTTGCTGTCACCGTGCAGGGCCCTGGGCCTCCCTCCCTGCGGGACTGCAGTCTCCTCCTTCCCAAGCCGCCAGGTCCCTTCCCCATGACAGCTTTTCTTCGTATTTCCTTTTATCATGTCACCTTCATGGGCGCTCCTGGGCCTCCTTCCCGGCCCTGCTGACCTCCACTTCTTGTGCCTTCTTCCCCTGGCTGTGGGAGCAGCTGCCCGGGCCTCAGCCGTCCTGGGTGGGCCTCTCCCGGAGAGGTGCCGAGTGTCCACTACAGGTTCAGTTAGGAGCTGATGAGCCTTTTGTGCTCCCAGCAGTCAGGTCTCCAGTCGCACTGCCAGCCGACACCACTGCGTCCCAGTCACTGTGTCGGTCTTATCCTGCAGGCCTCAGAGTCCCTGCTCCCAGTGTCACGCCATCGCCTGGTGACGCTCGCAGAGAGAACGGCACTCACGGCCTCAGAACCCACTGTGGGCAGCTTCCTCTGGCCGTTTGCCGCCCGCCGCTGCCCAAGGAGCTTGCTCCAAAGCTGAGTTAGGCCAGTGGCCACGACAGAATAGGGCGGGTGCCCAGCCTTGCTGGGCCTGCTGGGCCACAAGTCTGCTCCCAGGAGCACCCTCTGCCATCTGTGGGGCGACCGGATCCTCGGCTCAGCAGCAGCTTGTCCCTCCAGGGCCTGTGGGGACCCAGAGGCCAGAGCATGCCAGACACACAAGCATCACGGGCGGTGTGATGTCTGCTGTCAGGGGTGGGGACCTTGGGAGGTGACATTTGCGGTCCGTGGGCAAGAGTTACCACAGCAGTCTGAGGCTGAGAGGAGAGAGCGACATATTTTGGGAATATGGCATAATGTGGAAGAAATGTGTCCACTTGATGCATGGGAAGTCTGGAATGCCAAACAGCCCTCGGGGCTAAATTTAGCTGAAGTGTCCTGTATTTGAGAACCGTGTTAGCTCGCACATGACCCAGGAGATGCGGCCTGCCGCCCGCCGGCCACCCCGCACAGGTGCCCATGCGTGGCTGGGGCTGCTGCCTTTGGGAAGGCGGGCGGCAGCTGGGAGGACACTCACTCTGGTGCAGCTGAGGGGGTCGGTACCGCTCTGATCCTCCCAGGTTCATCCAGAGACTCCTGACACTCAAGAAAGGATTACACCCCGGGGCCCACAGAGACTCATTCTGGTTGCTAAATGTCTAGTCGTTTCTATGTTGCCAGCTCGCTGCATCCCCAGGAAGAAGCCCAGCTTGAGGGTATGGCTGACCGGGAGCCTCAAGACAGCCTTTGATGCAGGAAGTCAGGAGCCAGGGCCCACGGACGTCCTGCGGCGAGGCTGCCCGGTCAGGACACCCCAGGGCTGGGGGTGAAGATGGGAGGATGGGTGCCGGCTGGGGCTGAGGACGCACGCCACGCCAGGAAACCTCCTGGGTGCAGGAGGCCCTCGGCTCAGTGATGAGGGCAGGGGCCTGCGGGAGGGTCTCGCGGTCGGCCACTGACCGGCCTTTCTCTGTGGCACTCAGCAGGTGGGCTGGGCTGCAGAGCAGAGGGAGGAGCTGGGGGCGGGTCCTTACGTCTTCCTGGATCCTTAAACCCTTTCTCCAGTGATTAAAAGATAGGAGGCCAGGGAGAAGCTCCTAGCACAAGGCACATGCCTGGAGGGTGGCTGTGGTGACCTGTGCCAGGCGGGGACATGCTGGCTTCGGGTTTTCTGTGTACCAGGAGACAGGCCCAGACCACCTGACAGGGCCTCAGGCCCCCGCGTCCCAAACAAGGGGACCCACAGTGTCGACGCCTGCCTCACCCTCTGGGGCCCCAGACCCCTTTCCCCTCACGGACGCCCCCTCCGAACTTCGTTATCTTGCGATGCTCTTACCATGTGTAGCTAACTGTGTGGTTTTTGTGGAGGCAATTTTGGTTTTCCTTAAATTTAATTAATTCTTAAACTAACAAAGATCGCACACACAGCACCCAGGTCACAGCGTGGCTGTGTGAGAGCAGAAATCCAATTAAAATAATGAACCTGGGAAGAAGGGAGCTGCTGATGAGACAAGGGGTCACTGATGGGCAGGCCCCCCCACAACCCCCAAACTCATTTTACAAGGCCACCAGTACACTGATACCAAAAGCAGAAAAAGACACTACAAAAAAACCGCCCCCCCACAACCCCCCCACCCCCACCCCAGGCCACGGCCGCAAGAGACCCTGGCCCTTTGTCACGTCCTTGTCTGGCAGCTTTCTTCTTCAAAGTGATCCCCTAAACAACCAAATATTCAAAGTATTCGAGCACGGAAATTGCAATCAGAAAGAAAAATGATTCAGTTTGGTTTTGTGCCATCATTTTCTTCTCTCTCACACATTAAAATATTTTGACTTTCTAATCCATTAGCAGGGATGATGCATTCACGAAATCTGCAGGATCTCTGAAATGTTTAATTAAGAAGAAAAATAGCTCTTCGAACTGGATGGAAAATCATCAGAATTTAGATACGTTGTCCTTCACGCAGACAGGATTTAGTTGTAGGCCTTTCCACGGACCAAGTGAGCCCAGGCGTTTCCTCAACAGCTTTCCTGGGCCTGCCACCCACGGTGTGACCCGGGAGACAGAGGACACGGAGTGGGGGGCTCACTTCTGTAGGCGCCTGTGGTGCCACCAACGGCAGTCAGCTCTCGGCGTCCACGTGCGACATCCTGTGCAGCCACGAGGGGTTCTGGGTGCCCCGAGGACAGTCAGAACTCTGTGGAATGGACGCATGAGCACCAGACCCAGCCCTCCTGCAGGGACCCGAACAGGCTCCAAGGGGAGGTCTTGGGACACTGCTTTCCACCCCTGTCGACTGTCCTGACACCTCAGAGGTGTGGCCGCCGCACAGCGGGACAGAGCCCCACCCCACACACCTGCCGGAGGTCTGACCCATCCAGCAGAGCCACCTGGAGGCAGGTGAGATAGGACAGGTTTGCCCGCACCACTGCAGGAGCCCTTGTCATCACGGGGTGGGGGGTGGGGGGGGGACAGTAGAGGGAGGGGGCAGTCCCCACTCACGGTCAGAATTCAGGGTCTTCAGAGCAGGGCCTGGAAACTCTTCATTCACCAGGAATAGCCCTGAAACTGGGCTAAATTCTGCATAATTTAAAGCCTTATTCTCAGAAAGCCGACAGGATGGTGTCCTGGTTTGGACATATCAAGCAGCTAAACAGCAGTTTGGGACGAGCCCCCATCTGGAATCGCTTATATCTTCCCATGAAACGTGTTCTCAGAGTTCAGGTTGGATGTCCATAGATCACTGATTAGGCTCTGTACTGTGTCATCAGCCACCACGTGGAACATTGTCATTTGTCTCCAACTTTCCAGATGGGCCACAGGAGCCGAGGGACGCCAACCGGCTGCCAGAGCCCCAGGAAGCTCACATGGGACTCACATCACACTGTGGGGACGGCTGGGCCTCTTGCGGGATCCAGTGAAGACGAAAGAGAAACTGCAAACCGCTAAGGCCCAGCAGCACTCTGATGATGGGACAGCCGAGTTATGTGCAAATCATGGGGGACCGCACCCCAAAAAACCCCATGGGGGATCACACCCCAAAACAAACCACAGGGATCACACCCCAAAACAAGCCACAGGGGATCGCACCCCAAAACAAGCCACGGGGGATCACACCCCAAAACAAACCCCTGGGGGATCGCACCCCAAAACAAGCCACGGGGGATTGCACCCCAAAACAAGCCACGGGGGATCACACCCCAAAACAAGCCACGGGGGAACGCACCCCAAAATGAGTGGGGTCAGAGGGCTATGATGACGGAAGGACGGCAGAGCAGAACGGGGGACCTGGGAGGACCAACAGCCGAGGTCGGGCGTTTCTGGGCATTAAGTCCTAAGCACCAGTTCATTGTAGTGAAGTCCTGGGACGAGCACCTCCGGTGCCTATGCCTGGCCCAGGGTGGTGGTCACTGCCTGTGTCTTTGGAAGAAGCAGGGTGGCGTTCAGCAGCACAAATCCACACAGACCCCAAAGTGGCCCTTCTGCTGGCCAAAGAGAACGCAGGCACCGCCACGGCCTTCGCTTGTAACAAGTGGCTGAACACAGGCGGGGTGTTAACTACACTTGACACAGAAAAGCTACCTTCCGTGATCATGACCCCCAGGGGCGAGCATCACCAAGGCTCGGAAAGAAACTCCCTTTCGTAGAAGTCTAGCCTGGAGCCACTGTCACTGTGACGTCACACAGCAGAACCGTGCCTCTCACCCGTCCACACCAGGCTGTGGGTAAATGAACGTGGCCCAACGGGAGGATGGCTATCAGGTTTCTGCTGAGAAAGCAGAATAAAGCCACAGCTTATGCGGCTGCAGGGACCGTGTGCTGGGGCTGGGGAGGTTTGCAGACAGGCCCGGGCAGAGTTCGGGCAGAGTTCAGCCGAGCTGAATCAACACGTGGCTTTAACGTTCCTAGAGGAGGGGGCTCCCCGAGTTCACACCTCGTGGCCTCCTTAAACCACCCTGGTACATAGCCCACCTGAGGGGATGCTGGCCACGGGTGCCCCGGCACCGCCTGAGACAAACCACCAGCTGCCAGCCTGCACCCTACACCACCGACCGGGACACACTCAGCCTGAGTTTGCGAAGACGCTCCGGTGTGGGCCCAACCTGCTACCGCTGGCTCGGGGCGACAATGGCTGCGCAGCTTCTCTACAGCCCAGATCGCGGCAACATGTTAAACAGGAGGCAGAAGCCTCCATGGTGGAAAGGACGCTCAGAAAGGCTCGTTCCAGGCAGCGGGAGACAACCAGCCAGCCTCTCCAGCCTCCAAACTTACAGACCACCGGACAATTCCAAATGCCAACAGCAGGAGTGACATAGGGACTTTGCTTGATTTGGCCAGTAACCCCCACGGGGCCGTGTGCACTTCTGGATGCAGACTGGGAGTACCCGCACCCACGAGCCCTTACCTCGCCCTCGTCCTCGGGGGCGTCGTAGACGCACGCGTCTATGAAATCTGGAAATATCTCCGACCACCCATCACTTGTGCAGTTCTTGCTTATGTTTCCTGGAAGGTAAAGTTCATATGTCAGATCTGTAAGACCTGCACCGGCACGGCCTTGCAGTGCCCCCTCTCTATGGTGGGCGAGCAGCCCCAGGCTGTGCCACGACACTCTACACAAAGCGCTTTGGCACTTCTGGTCTCCCGTCCTTACCCTTTAATGCCTGCCCAAGATGAAATGAACTCTGTAGCAGAGGGTGATGCCCTCCAGGTGCCCAGCCGTGTCTTCTTTCCCCACGCTCCAGGCCCCTAAACCAGCTCAACTCAGGAGGCCCAGCTGTCCGGGCCCCACTCCCTGCTGCTCTGTGGAGGCCGACCCCTCCACATATGAACCCACGGAGGACGTACCTGGTTTGCTGTGAAAGCTGCCGAACACTGCTGGGCAGGGCACTGTGACGGTCTCCCCCACGTCCGCGGGATGCCAGCATGTGATGTTGTCCCAGACACCCCTGCAGGCTGGAAGGGAGGCAGAATGAAGGCAGGAAGGACGGCCAGCCCACGACAAGGACAGCACCGTCACCGCTGGGGGACGCCCAGCTCACAGGATCAGTCTGTCTACAAGCTTTGCAAATAGCTTGATATTTTTCAAGAAAATTATCTTCTTTCTTCAGATAATTATCTTGCATATTATTTTTCTGTTCATAAACTTGCACCACCAATAGTATTGGGAATACACTCAGCTGTGTGTTCATTTAATCAGCTTTGAGAAATAACCAG